AGCTAGATGGCTGCTTGTTTATCTTCAAGCCTTTAAGATCCCAGATGCTATATCTTTTGATAGCTGGGCACCATCAGCTTTCTTCACCACATTTGCTTATGCACCCGCTTTGTCTTCAGTGATTGTGTCGGGAAGGTGAGCATCATGGAATGCCAGGTCATTAGAACGAAGTGCTCTTGTGTTGAGGGAGTATATTAATAGAGATCCAATATATATATATTTCCCTATCTCTTATTTGTACTAATGTGTGTGCTGCTGGCTAGCCAGATTTGTAAAGTAGAGCTGGGTCATGGTAGTGGGAAGAGGAAGCATTCAGGAACTAGAGGAATGATGTTTTCTTGGTGCTATACTGCACCTTGTTTGAATCATCCATTCCCTATTACCCTTCTGTGTAGGGATATTTAATTGTTTACAGATGGGCTTTGGGTCTCCACTGAAAACTCCCTCATTCGTATCAATATAGTTGTTTGTTTTGGATCTTTTGATACCTTATACCTGATCCTGTTGACACCTCATGATCACACAGGCTGGTGTACTTCTTCCATATGGGCTTATTTGCTTCCCTGCTGGATGGTTGCTTGTTCAACTTCAAGCCTTTAAGACCCCAGATGTTATAGCTTTTGATAGCCGGGCACCATCGGCTCTCTTCACCACATTTGCTTATGCACCCATTTTGTCTTCAGCAGTCGTGTCGGGAAGGTGAGTATCAAAGAGTGCCAGGTTATTAGAACAAAGTGTTCTTGTGTTAATGGAGGCCTTGAATAGAGGTCCAAAGTCCATCTGCTATCTTAATACTTAACATATAAATATATGTATATTGGTCTCTGTTTATTTATGTTATTATATTTACATATGTACATGCCTATAGCTGTACTTCTATAAATAGCTTTTCTTTCCTCTATTTCCTTTCACCTTCCTCCTATCCCACTATCATGCTCACCCTCCATTCAGCTCTCACTAATTCTTCTCAGATACATTGCACTTGATTAAACCCCACCAGGCATTATACACCCTCCTCACCATTAATTTTATATCTCTTGTTGTTCCCTTATCCCTGACTTTGTTGGGTCCCTACTCCCCCTACCCACCTCTTCCTCTCCCATGTCCCCCTGGAACCGCCAGTCCCATTGTTTTATCATCAGGACTGTTAGTCCTGCCTATCTTACATAGATAGACATAGGACAAAAGAAAAAAAAAAAAAAGCAATAGATAGTCCCAGGTCTGTCTGCTGACCCTTATGTATGTTTTCCCATCAGGTCTGATGAGGTACCAAACTCTGTCCCCCAACTCAGAAGCCTATTTTCGGGATTCCTCGGGGACTTGGTGACTTTGTTCCCCTTGCTGCCTTGTTGCACTCCTTTGCATTTCACCCCGCTGTGCATGGGGCAGACTGGGAACACTTTCCGCACATAGCGCTATGGGTCAGTGAGGGAACGTCGTGTTTCATGGTGAGGCTGGGCCTACGATCCTCTCTGTGCATTGGCTGCTCTGAGCAGAGATGTCATCACTGGGGCTTGGTGGGCCATGGTGAGGTCAACTCTCTCAGAGGCAGATTTTTACCAACATTTATAGAACAATCTGGGATTAGCTTTTTCCTAGCACTAGAAACTCAACAGATTTCAACACAGAAATACCTTTTTCATCCAAGAAGCCCTTTCACATCGGTGTTGGGACACACAGCCAGCCTTCTGTATCTTCTGAATGTGAATCTACGGTCAGCATGATCAGGACAAAGTGGCACTGGCACTCCGCTCAGCTGATAAGCATGTAGTGTGGTTCGTTGGTGCCCACTGTGGTTAGGTCTTCAATCAAGATGGTCACTGTGGTTAGGTCTTCAGTCAAGATGGCTATGCAGCCTTCTGTTCAGCTGACAACAAAAAAAAGGAGGTTTGCAATTAGCCCAAAGACTAGCATTGATTCCACTTATGACACCTTGAGCTGCAGCTTCCTCATTGTCATTGATCTGTCCAGCAAAGAAAAGCCACTGAGCTAAGTGCATCTCAAGAGAAGGAATGATTTGACACGGAACAAAGTAATCAGAGTGAACGCCATAGCCTGGCTGAATCATCTTATCTTTCTCCAAACCTCTGATGCGTATGATCATTTTCTCCTGTAACTCTGCTGGTAGTTTACAGGAAAGCCTTGGTTGGGGGAGAGGAGAGATAAGGTCAGAAACCATTCCTTCAGTCTCCAACCAAACCTGATACACACAATATGGAAAACTCAAGACTTTTGATTCAATGGAAGGACAATATCCAGGTCCTCTTGCAGTCTCTTTAATGTGACTATTAAGGACAAATTAATCCACTCTATAATTGGTGTAAGTCAAATAACATGGCAACTGATGTTTGCTTAATTCACACTGTTAGATTGACAAAGCTGGATGGTATAGATGGATTGTCTGGAATGCTGAAATTAATGGTATCTTTGGCAATCTGAGGTAGAGTGCCAGTCTTCATCCTCCTTACCACAAA